CAAACAAAAATGGTACATGACAGGGGTTCCAGAGAGGTTCCAGGTTACACTACTGCACAACAAAGATTTCCTGCTTATTTCAGATGGACACACATGGAAACAAAAAGCACTAGTTTCCCATCAGGTAGCTCCCAGATCCTATCAGGTACTCATACAAGAAGGACATGTGCTAAGAAGGAACAGACAACACTTGCAGCTCAGAAAGGGGAGAAAAGAAGCAGCATTACAAGATCCACTGGAGGAAACAGAGCTAACATCAAAGTAATAAGAAACAAAAGAGGAGACTGAAAATGAGACAGAACATCTGAACAAGGAAACCAAACAAGAACTGAACCAATTGGGATTGAGAATGCAGAGAAACTGAGATCACTTAGCAGCTAAAAAGCCAACATAAAGACTAATACAGGCTTTTTAAAATGGGCTTTAACTATGGGTTGAACTAAACTGCCAATGTTAGTACTATATGGGGGTAAGTTACATGTAAAGGAGGAAGATGTGTGGCTACGTTTAAGAGTGCTATGTATAAATCGTTACATTGGCCTGGGAATGCAGGCGGGAACAGCAGATGTCTAGGCTAAGAAAGCTCTCTCAATAAACAACTTTATGATTTTGTAAGTTTAACTGCTTGGTCTTTTGAGAATAACACAGAAGGGAGCTCAGGAGGTCATCTAGTCCAACCCCCTGCTCAAAGCAGAACCAGCCCCAACTAGATCATCCCAGGCAAGACTTTGTCTAGTTGGGTCTTAAAAACCTCCAAGGATGGAGATTCCACAACTTCTCTGGGTAACCTGTTCCACTGCTTTACTACCCTCCTTGTGAGGATGTTTTTCCTAATATGTAGCCTAAACTTCCCTTGCTGCAACTTGAGACCATTGCTCCTTGTTCTGTCATCTGCAACCACTGAGAACAGTCCAGCTCCATCCCCTTGAAACCCCCTTCAGGTAGTTGAAGCCTGCTAGTAAATCCACTCTCAGTCCTCTCTTCTGTAGACTAAATAAGCTCAGTTCCTTCAGCCTCTCCTTATAAGTCATGTGCCCCAGCCCCCAAACCATTTTTGTTGTCCTTCTCTGGACTCTCTTCAACTTGTCCACATTCTTTCTGTAGCGGGAGGCCCAAACTGGAAACAGTGCTCCAAATGTGGCCTCACCAGTGCTGAGTAGAGGGGAAAAATCACGATCTTTGATCTACTGGCAACACTCCTATCCATGCAGCCTAGTATGCAAGAATGGCACACTGTTGGCTCTTATTCAGCTTATTGTCCACTGTAACCCCCAGGTCCTTTTCTGCAGAGCTGCCACTTAGCCAGTCAGCCCCCAGCCTGTACCGGTGCATGGGATCGTTCTGTCCTAAGTGCAGGACTTTGCACTCAGGACTTTGTTGTTGGAGGGTTGGAAGGTGTGAAGTTAGTTGGGAAGCTTTTACCACATATGGTGGAGGTGCCCTAGAATCAGACTGTCTAGAAGAAGTTTGGAGATTTGGTGATGGAAATAATAGGGTGCCAGCAATTAGATAATAGGTCTGTGCAAAGCTTCAGGTGGTGATTCGATTTGGAGGAGATTCAGCCCGATTCGGTGGCCAAATCTCCCAATCTGAATTGAATCGGGACCAGTTTAAAGGTCTGAATCGATTCAAAGCTCTCTAAATCTTCAGCAAAGATTCGGGGAGCTTCGATGATTCAGGCAGTCCCTGGTGGTTGCAGCAGGGAGCTGCAGCCACTCTGAGCTGATAAGTACTAGGGGTCGGGGAGGGGACCATGGAGGGACCCCTGCCAGCCCCCCTGACCCCCCCATTCTCCCAGGCCC